AAGGAAGTCGTTTTCTTCACAGAATCCGTGGAGCAAAGACAACACAAAGTGGAGCCCTTGGGGACTCCTCCGACTAGCCAACTGATTTCATCAGGGACACTGGGACAATAACACATCTCGGTGAATCGCACCCTGCCAGGAGCATAAATTTTGCTCCCACAGTATGGCAGAGTGCAGGATGGTGCCAGTGCATTCTGTCAGCTTACTGCAGGACAGGCCAACTTATTGTTGCAGCAGAGGGGGCTTGCAGGGTATCACAGAAGCCAGAACTCTGCAGTTCTCATGGTGTTAAGATCACACAATGCAAACCTGTGTGATGTGATGGCCCAGAGACAGAAACAGCATTGCCAAACCCACTGGGCAGAGCACAGTTCAAGATTCCTGTCCATGAGGGGTCAGGCTTGGAAGAGGCTGGGACCAGCATCCATTCTGAGATGTGTCACCACAGAGATAAGGAGTGCGGGCTGGTTGTGATGGGGTATAAATTAACCACAGATTTATGCACAGAGTGTGCCAGTCTAATTTTCAAGACATGTTGGAAGACACATTTGGAAGACACATCCCAACAGCACCAGGACGATGGGGGTTGTCATGCTTGGCCATTAAACTCTTGCCCACAGAGACAAAAATCAGTCTGGGTCCAAAACAGCTATGCATTTAATGTGAATTTGTTAAACCACATTAAAGSTCTGTTTCAGCATTTTTAATCAAAGGTGCTTTTAGTGTGATTAGACTTCTTTACCTTACAAGTCAATTGGCCCGAACTTAAATTCATAATTTTTTAGTTTTGAATTAGAATATCTACACAGAAATTAAATGAAGTTTTATCTACATTTTAAAAAATTAATTTGGATTTACTTCTATGAGAGCAAAATGTCTGGACTGAAAATGAGTCAGTGGAATCACACTGATGAAGGGAGAGAGCTCTCCATCTTCAGAGCAGTCCTCACTGCCAGTGCTGGAGTAGTTTGAATTCAAACAGGGGCAGCCAAATTATTCCTAGTAATAGATTTTCGCCTTCTCTGCGTCTTTGCGTGGTTATTTGCAGAGGCCATATCCTGGGTTATAACTAATGATGTTTTTCAGGAATGTAGGAGTCTATAGAGATTTTCAGCTGACACCAAGCAGCATCAATGTGCATCAAATGCACATTGATGGGACTAACATTTTGTGTGTTTATTTGTATATATATATTTATAGTTRTAACTGGATTACCTAAAAAGTTCTGAAACACTAAATGTAAAAGTACCATTCATCTTGTCGTGAAAGTCCCCTGAAGTTTCACAAAGTGAGTCTATAAAAATTGTTGGCAAATTGAAGGTTATCGGGTCTTGTTTTATAGCAACATATATACAGATACATGTACAAACAACTCTGAAATGTGCCATTTCCTGAAAAGAGACGTTAATGGGACGTCATCACCTGTCACAATTGCTGATGTTGCCAAAGATGTTGCCCTGACCTTTTAACCACTCTTAGGATACGTTTRTGTAATCAAGATTTGCATCTTCAAAATGTCAGTAGAACAAAAGGTACTGTTGTCCTGACTCAGCTGAGTTGATGTCAAAGACCTGATGTTTAGCTGATGACAAAATTTCAAATCAAACTTAAGATAACTGTGTTTTATTCACAGTTATGGTTACAAAACATCATTCCCATTCTTTACTGTTTAGGATGATGCTTATTACTCTTTCTTTGCTACTAATGAAAGAGCAACAGGCAAATTGTACTCGTGGGTTTTAAGGTGCAAATAAGAAACTATCAGTCCCCAGTTTAAGAGAAGATTAAGAACAGGATTAAACCATGAACTTAGTTACTAGTTCAGGAACAGATTTTGGTAAATTAGTACATTTTCTGTACTGAAAAAAAGAAGTAGTCTTAAACATTTTTTTTTTGCTCTCTTGGTAAGGCATTGGACTTTCAAAATATTTGTAATTAGACCCTTTTGTATACCCATTGTATTTGTAAAAATTAGATGCAAAAGAAAATCAGATTGTTCAACTCTTCAATACTCTGGAGCACTCTTTGTTTATTTTTGTTTACTCATCTGTCTCTTCTGGCTTGTATTACATTTTGCAGAGGTGTACATAGGAGTGGAACATGAGACTTAGCGTCATTCTGCATTCACTTCACAAGATGTAAGTTCACAAAGTACAGAGGTCCAGAAGAGCCAGACTACCAACAGTGCCTGATGATGATGAGCCTGGGCAGAGGGAAAGCTTAGTTTTTGTACTGAAGAAGTTGACATGGAAAGAGGAAAGAGATTAATAAGTAAAATCTCTATACACAGTCTTTACCTGTGTGTTGGTGACAAGTGGGCAGCACTTCTTTTACCTGTCCTGTGATGAACTGATGTACATGAGAGTTTGCTGGTCTGCAAGTAACTGTGCAATTTTTATAAAATTGTGCAACGTCTGAGTTACAGTTCCCACACCACKGAAATTATGTAAATGATAATTTCTCTATTTCAAGAAGAAATCTCTCTATCTCAAGAAGACCAAAGGTACTCTTGGCTGTGGGAATATATGAAGTATTTCAGTATTAGTCAGGTGCTGTAGTAGCTCAGAAAATTGTTGTACACTGAGCATTTGCTGACTGATCTCTGACAGGTCAGCTCAAAGTTCTGTACCTGAGGGGGTAAATGGCTGGGTTAACACAGTGTTAAATCAGCTACTATCCACTCTGCTGGAGTATCTCACAGACAGCAACAGCAGAAGAGGAGAGGCAGATTTAGGTGCTGTAAGCAATACCAACTTCTTTGGCATTGGTGTATACAGGAGTAAATCACGCCCTTCTGCTGTGGATCTATGACACATTGTATAAAATGAATTATAATCTTTCTTCTCGGAATAATAGGCTTATTTCCGGAACAGATTTCTGTTACGTTTTTCTGAGAAATTTCCCACTTCTAGCAGACAAGGTGCAGGAATTCAGGAGTCTGGAGTTTCATTTTTAGACTGTAATTTTGAATGCATTATTGGGCTGCTGGGGTCTTTCTACAGCATCGCAACCTCAAAAAMCAGGTCTTTGGTGGGGGCTGCATCCTGAGTCTTGCTTATGATGCCTCAGTGCTGATAACTCCCTGGAATGATGGTTTAATAGGGATGAACGCAGCCTGAAGATAATGTTTATTTCAAGTATAAAATTTTGCAGAGTACAGAAAACCAGGTTATATCGAGATTATTTAAAAGCACACTTTGTTAACCAACRGAGTCCCTTACGTTTTACTGAAATAGGTTCCCTCCTTGCTAAGTAGTGACCCCTTAAGGAAAAATCGAGCTACTGCCGTCAGTAGTATCTCCCTATCTCGAGGTGCTCTTACGCGAGGCTTGCTTTTTCTCCCAGCCCTGCCTGGGGTTTATCCCCTCACCTTCGGTTCAGCACGACTGAGAAAGGATGCAGTAAAGCTGACTGTCAAAAAACAAAATGTTACTCAAATGCATGTGTAACTTTTTGTGTCAAGAAKTGTACCCATGGTCTTCTCCCCTTATTTCCCTTCCCATCTCGATTTAATTTTTCACAAAAGTTGTACCAGGCCACTTAGGAAGCATGACTTTGTTTTGCCTTGATGTTTTGCAGTAGATGTTCGCTGTTCTTCTTTTTTACCATACAGATAGGACCTAGACCAGCAGTGTATTTTCTTTTTCCGTTTGTTTCAAAGCCCAAATGCTGAAAAAACAAAGTGCTGGTTAGCCACTGCTTCTTCAAAAGCTTCTTGCTTTAGGAGAGTATGCTGAAAACTGAACTCCAACATTTTCAGCCAAGAAGATGAGAAACTCAGTATGCATTGGCTTTTCAGTGTTTTGTCTGTTTTAGGCCTGATCTGGGAAGATTTTTTTTAGTGTCTTCAGTCCAAGAATACTGAAAAATAATTTTAAAGCATCTTTTGTGCATGATGTTTTTTGTAGATTCTTTTTTTATGTGTAAGAAACATACACAAATCTCCTCAAGAGAAGGAGAAATCACTAATGGTGAAGTGGTAAACCTAGTTTTAGATTGTGATTCCATTTGTTTTTCCATGTTGCAAGCCCTTTCTGGGAAAAATCTTCCACTGTGAGACTTCAAGTAGTTTGCACAGATCTTTTCTATAACTTCTGAGTATTGTGTTTCCCACCCTTTGGCAAGAGCCACAGATAATARTTATCTCTACCAGCAGGGACTGTAGCTCAGGTTAGATGAGCAATTATATACAGATTCCTTAAGTTTTCCAGCTGATGGTAGAGTTCAGTTTGCTGCATTTACACTGCCACCAGTTGCTTCACAGCTGCCTTGGGCACGGCTGTATTAGGCGTAGTTTCATCTGTGGGCTGCAGAAAGGCTTTACCTGACCAGCTCTGTGGAAGCTAGGGGTTCTTGGACCAGCCCCACGAGAAGACGCCAAAGTAGAAACGGACCCACACTGAGAACAGCGAGACCTCCCAGCGACAGGACCCTCTCGCAAATCACCAGGTGTGRAAGCGCACGCTGGTCTCGCAAGCCCTCCTTCCCCCGAGCATCCCCCGCCGCCGCGGGGGAGGCAGCACTGCYGGTATCCTCGCAAGTTAAGCGGAAGCCGCAGTTTAAGCAGGTGCCTAAGTGGCAGCATGTCAGCGCCCTGCTGAGCACCGCGCCCGCCTCTCGCTTTCTCCGACTCCCCGCGGGAGAGGCCCCAGCCCGGCCCCCTCTGCGCTCCCGCGGAGCCACCCGCGCCCGCAGCGCTCCGGACCGTGTCTGCCTGCGGGGCGGCTCCAGGCTACAACACCGCCCCGTCCTGCCCTGCCCGGCCCCTGCCCGCCCCGCCCCGCCGGGGCCGCGCTGCCGGCGCCCTCTCCGGCGCTGGGGGACTGGGGCCGGGGCCGCCCCCCACCCTGGGGCCGTAGAGGCTCCTCCCGAGAGCGAGCGAGGGGTGCCCGGGGCGGGCGTTAGCGAGGCGTGTGCCGAGGGGGTGTGTTTTGGGGCCGTAGTTTATTATTAGTAGTAGTAAAGAAAGGAAAGCAAAAAAAAAAAAAAAAAAAAAAAAAAAAAAAAAAAAGGGGTGGAGAAGAAGGGAGGGGGGTGAAGAAAAAAAAAGGCCCGAAGAGGAGTTTCCAAAAACTTCCAAGGAACTCGCGGCTGCAAGTCCCAGGCGGCAGGCAAGAGCGATGCTGGAGCCCCGGGCGCTCCGGGAGCCGACAGCGGCGGCAGTGGCGGCAGAGGGGGTGACCACGGGGATGGCGGCGGCAGCGGGGAGCGCGGTGCCGGCCGGAGCCGGGATGGCCGAGAAGAAAAAAGCCGGCAACGGCAAGAAGGGCAGGAAAGGCAAGGGGCCCGGCAAGAAGCCCGCTCCGCCGGAGGAGGGCGAGGCGCCCGGCTCCACCGCAGGTAAGCTCGTCGGCAGGTGCGGGGGCCGCGCTCCGCGCCCTTTCCGCGGCCGCGGGTCCGCACGCAGCGGGCACATCCCCAGCGGAGCCCCGAGCCCCGCCGTGGCTGCTCTCCGAGCTCCCGGCCCCGCGGAGCGGCCGAGGCGACGGTGCTGCCGGGAGCCCCTCGGCTGTCCGGCCACGGTTCGGTCTGCTGCCCTGCTTCCCTTCCACTGGCCCCGAAATCCTGAGAGGCTCTCGGTCAGCTGTTGCTTTCTTCATATTTTTTCCCCCTCCATTTTTTGGAGGGCGTGAGGCTGTCTCTCCTATTACAGAACACATTTTCTGTCCCTTCCTTTCCCCAGAAATCTCTTGGTGTAGTTGAACAGATGGCACACTTTCATGTGGGGTATTTTGTCTAAACTTGCAGCTATTTACTCAGGGATGATCAGAGAGGACGTTTCGCTCACTTAGCAGCACGTGTTGTTTGCTCTCATGCGTCCTCAGTGTTACGCGCAAGAATTCATGCCAGTGATACACTCTTGTTCTGCAGGGGTCCAGAAGTGGAACCCAAAGGAGGGGTCCCAGCTGAGCGTGCTGCTGCACTCACCACACTCACTTAATCTCTGTCAGCCAAATGCCCCAGTCAGGATCAAGACTCCCAGAGCAATGCAAGCACACAGGAGCGTGTGATGCTTTTACTAGAGATCTTCTATTATCAGAAGCCCTAGCAGTATCTATGGATACACTTAGCTTTTTGCAACAGCAGTGTGTGGCTGCCGTTACTGGTTAGTTCAATAATTTGTTTGAATTCTTTGGGGGTTTGTTAGAAATTATTTTAAAAGAAGCATTGGAATAGCAGTCAATTGCCTGTGGTGTGGTGTGGTTTGGTTTGGGAATTTTTGTTTGGTTGCATTGTTTTCCTCACTTTGGGTTGTTTTCCCATCCAAACAGCTGAATTAACATAAAGCCCAGGAGGGTAAAACTTTCTAAGTATACCTGTATGAACTTTGTTTAGTGCATCATGGCCAACATAGTGCTGCTCTAGACTTTAGTAATCAGCCCTCAGGGAGGATGTGTGTGATTCAGCTGCAGCAGTATCCCTTTGGGCTGCTGATCTTTACAAACTAGCACTGCCYAATGCATCCTCTTCTCTGGATTGTTTGGAGCCTTAGCTTACCCAACTTCTGCTCAGCAGTGGCTGTTAACATGTTTCAGGTACAGCCAGGGAGGTTTCTTTTGTTGTGCCGAGATAGTGACAAACACTTCTTATGACCTTCTTTTTCATTTGATTTTTATAATGCTGTTACACTACTCAAGCACTGTAAGCATCTCCTTCTAAAGCCAACAACCTCTGGCACTGAAACATTAAAACCTCTGGCAAACTGTCACAGCTGGGCTGTTTGAAGTGTTTGGGGAGCTTTTTGTTTGTTTTTATGGCTGAGAGAAAATGGGAAGACAGAAACAAGTTGAGCAATTTGTGATAGGAAAGATCTGTYGAGGAGACACATGTTTTCTTACTGTGCACCTCAGAGTTCTATAGCACCCCATCCTATTCATGTAGGACCACTTTCTTTGTCCTGATGTGCAGTTTTCCTTTTCCAGTGGAGCAGGGTGCTGAGGGAGCAGTGAAAGGAACTGTGAATCAGAGGGCATATTTTTTGAGTAATCCAAYCAAGTTATCTTTTAAACTAGAGATTTTTGGGAAGATGGTCCTTTTTCTCTCTAGAGGGGAGCTAGAATAACAAAAATCCATGCAGATAATTAGCACCCAACGTTAAAGGCTCTAAGTGTGGTAAACTCTCACTTGTGGTGGTCTGATCATGTCTGCCATAGTGAATGTTTTACCTGAAAATCTGAAGGGTGGCAGGTGTAGATTGAGATTCATCAAGGCAGGATTCAGATTATGCCAGCTCCTAAGGCTTTGCTAAAACTCCAGAAGGCTATGTCTCTCCTAAGCCAAAGTATGTCAGTGTTTGAACCAGAAATAATCCATTTTTCTGGCAAGGGCTTACCTCAGGTCTCCAAAGCACCAGTATGTTTTTGTACGTATGAAAGAGTACCGCCTTCATCCATACCTGGCATTACTAGTCAAAAGTTTCCTGTGTGGGCAAGAACTGAACATTCTTCTATCTTATGTAATAAAAATCCCATTCCTTCCAAGATGAGTGTATGTGGCAGGATAGTTCACATGTGTAGCTAATCCATGTAGTCTGTCTAATGGGAAAATGAAATACAGCATAACGTACCACTGTACATTTGACTCACAATCAGATAATGTCCCACTGGCAATGCAACGTAGGTTTTATCTAATCTGTTACTTAAGGGTATTATCTGGTTTGAGGGGCATTCAGAACAAGAATTGATACTTAGAAGAGAAAGAACAGAAAGATTGGTTAATGTAAAACGTGACAAGAGAGCAATTTTGCATTTCAAGCCATGGGCTTTTATTCTCTCTATTCAAGCATATTAGAGCTTGAATTAATTACTAGTCTACTCATGTTGATTAACAATACTTACTGGGGACAATATGAGGGTCCTTTGGCTTTGATGGGACCACAGTTTTCCTTTTTGCTAATACAGTTTTGCAGCCATACCTGATTTCAGTTGGTGTGTTTAGGGTAGAGTCTGAGAGGTCATGAAACAGTTTTGCTCTGAGTTACCTGCTTCCTTTAGTTAAGTCATGTCAGGAATTGTAATCTTCTCTGTTCTGTTCTTATCTGTAAGGAATTTTCATCCACTTTGGGTCTCCCTTACAAAGAACAGTGGCTTGCAGACAGTCCTCAGTTTTAAGATCTAGCACCAGCACAGAAATCCTTAGCAGGTGTTCAGCTTTTTGCTTAGTATAGTTTTTTTCTGACCATAGCTTCTTGCAATTTAGTTTGCTTTTGGYTGTCAAAGTATGTCACATACGTTTCAGTCCTGGGTCTGGAAGCACTGATAACTTTTCAATGGGCTGAGAATCAGGTTTGTTATTTGGGAAGAAAGGGTATGAGAAAATGTTTCCTATTCTGTCCTAACTTACCCAGAAACTCCAGAATTTATATTGGAGAAGAAAACTAGTTATTGGGGAAAAGGGATGAAGGAGGTTTGGCCTTCTCTGCTCCCATGCAGAGTGGTAACACAGAAAAAAATCTTCTTGTTTTCCATTGTCCAGGTGAAGTCTGGGCTCTGTTAAAAAAGTTTGGGGAGGCCCGTGTTACTATGGTTTGTCACTAAAACTATTAAACATTCACTCCCACTCACTACAGGTGGTCTTAAATAAGCTGGTACTCTCTGGCTCATATCAAGCCCAGAGTGATTGTATCTTCCTTCAGCAGGGTGCTTTGGACCATGATAAATACAAGGGGTGGAAAACTGAAGAGACAGTGTTATAAATGGACAGAAACTCACAGCTCTTCTCCAAGTTATATCACTGAACTGCTATGCCAACTGAATGTGCAGACAGGCTCAACAAATCTGCCAGCAGGGCTTCCTAGGACATTGCCAGCCCACTGAAAATGCATCCAGCCTGGGCAGAGAAAACATCCAGCCTGGGCAGGAAAGCTGGGGTTGGGAATGAAGGTCTCCCGACCTCACAGAGGCACCACTCCTGACTTAAGCTGTGGTTATAGCAGGATTACAGAGGCTGGGGGATTAGGTGCTTCAGCCTGTGTCAGCCCTTGAACCTTCTGCCTGCCCAACCTTGGTGCTGGATTGCCTAATGTGGGGCTAGTGCAGTGAGAGAAAGGAGCCAGCCCTGGAAAAATCCCTGTGGAAATTGCGGTTTTGTCAGTAAGGTGGGGTACCAGCACAACAGCTGCACAGCCTCTTTGTGAAGTGTTTCCAAACATCTCCGGGAATGTGAGTTTTCAGGTGCTTAGCAGAGGAGGTGAGGGAGAGGTTGCTGGGTTTGAAAGGACAAAGTATGAGAAGTGAAACATTTCTAAGGAAAACACCTTGACGTGTGCAAAGGCTTGACAGTGCTGTGAACTCTGGCCTTKGGTAATGTCAGCCACTCTGCTCTTCTGTAGGAAGAGCAAGGCTTCCCAAGAATCTGGTGCTGAAACACAGAGAAGGAAGAGGGAAGAACACCAAAGATGGGTCTCAGTCGTCCTTTCAGTGAGGTACCCTCAGTAGCGTTGTTCTGGACACATCTGCACGAGCAGAGCAGAGAGGCTGTGGTCATTGACACAGAAAATAAGGATCTCCTGSTGGGTTTAATTTAGAATTAAATAAAATGCCAGATCATGGAGATTGCTTGACAGAATAAACAGCGACAACTTCAGATGAGATGAGTGTGGCTCAGCAGATCCTTTGACTGTATCYTGGTAGCAGGCTTGGTTGCCAGAAGAAGAAATGGTTTTGTCATATTAAAGACCAAGCTGTAGGTGAGAGCTTGGTTGGGAGGATTAGAGATCAGTCTGAAGTTTTCTAWGTTTAAATTGATATTCAATATTCATAAAGAGATATCAGAGGACAGGTCACTGTTTTAACTTGAAGRCAAGAGCCTGAGAGATGGAATGAAAGCTGTGCTTTCTGGCAAAACCCGGCCACTTCTAGACCTAAACTATTGCTTAGAAGCAGGGACAACTTCTTTCGGTATTTCCAGAACCAAAATATTTATGTGCTGCTGGTATGCTTGTACATTTTTTCTGTGAGGAAAGCCTCTCTACCTGTGTGCAATGCTGGAATTCTCCAAACATTCCACACAATCTTCAGAGCAATTTTGAGAGTGAATCCTTTAAAAAGCATGCGAGTGCGTTCATGTTTTTTTGAATAAATGAGATTAGTCACCATTCAAACTTTTTTGAATTAACACTACAAGTACTACTTGAYTGCAGCCATGGGAATGCAAACAGAATGGTGAGAACATACCAGTACAGTTGTCCAGTAAATACTGCATGTGTATAGAAAGATACTCCCCCTTTGAAAAAAATCCAGAAACTGTTCCGAACTTTGTGCAAGTATTGATGGCTGGAGAAGGCTGAAGAAAATTTTTATCTTTCATGTAGAAATGCCAAGGCCTGCTAGGCTATTCAC